AAATAAAAAATCATGCTAAAAAGTGCGTGGAATCACGTGTAATGAAGGTTTTTTGAAAACTTACAGCCACGAACATAATAAAAGTGATGGAATGGAAAGTTCCAGTTAAATTTACATCTAACATTTCATGCCATATCCTTTTGAAGATTTGTCGTATCGAAGTCGGATTTGAGGCATTTATTTCCTTTTTTCTAAGTTCTTTAAAATGATGTGGTACTTGACAGGGGTCAATATTTAAAATAATTAAGTTACCCCCCGCAACCTCTATTTGGGGGTGGGTGGTGAATAAAAAAATACCACCAAAAAGTACTTAACATTACCCTTGTAACGTGTATCAAAGCTCGTTTGAAAGTATGCAGCAGTGCAAAAATTAACCAGGGGGACAATTATGGAACACCCGGTATTTATAAACATACTGCGTTTTACAATCAAACACTGAGGTCAAAGCAGGAATATGCGAATATGGGTCAAATACTTGGTTAAATAGTTGGTAACGTAAATAGTTGGTTAAAGGCTATGTAAACATTGCCAAGCATGATTAATAACTGGATTTTTGTGAAGACTGGTTGTGATATTAGTCGTTGATGCACTCGTGGCCTTATAACGAACTTATTACAGTGCATAAGGGTGAAAAAAACATCCTAGATAATAAAAACTACCAGTTACTATTTACCAACTTACCTTTGTACTTATATAAATTGTGTGTTATATTTTCCCGTAATAGTTCATGTTATACTTACATTTTTAATTTAATAAACTGGCCTATACATATCTCATTTAAATTGCAGTTAAATAACTAATCAATACAAAACTAATAATGTATTTGTAAAAAACTAATTCCTAGAAACTTGAGTGGGTGGTTTTAAATAATGAGGTAGAAAGGGGAAACTTGCAATAAAGAGGGTAAAACTTTATCAATTCCACAAAAGTGACACCTTGTTGACAATTTAAACTAGTCAACTTCCTTAGGAAAACGGTTTTTTGGGCTATAACTTTGCATTCTCACTGTGGGATCCGTATTTCTTTTAAGATTTAAAACCTAAATAGATTTTTCACTTAAGGTGCGATACAAACCACCAAGACAAGAAAATATACCATGGATAAAATTAATATATAGTTGGCAGGAAGAAACTCGAACCTTCAGGACAAAGTTACCATGATCTAGTGGCTAGACCATTTGCATTCCAACATAATCATAGGTAGGCCTGTAACAACATTAGAGATATGCAAAAACTGCAATGAGCTGAAATAATAATTATATAGATCTAAATATTTATAAAATATTAGATACGATGACATTTTAGCTCATCCGGTTAAATAAAAATGTATTTATTGAGACGAATCTAAAAAAAAACATCGCCACAATACCAGGACTTCAAAGAAACGTGGAAATAGCTTCTCCAAACCTTCTGTAAATGTAACAGTCTGTTATAATGTTTGTTCAATCTTCTTCCCTTTGAAAACTATTTTATCAACCGTTGAGCTGTCAATATTTAAAAAAAATGAACCGTCCCAGTTTAAAAAGTTTGGATTTTTGATATTGGCACTTCACTAAAGTCGTCAGTTTTCAAGCCGTGCACGTGCTATAAATGTTTTCGTGTATTCGTGTTTTCGTGTGTCCGTCCTGTACATATATGTGTATTATTTATTCAACCCTTGGCGCAATGCAAATGAAGAAAACTCGTGACAAAATGTGACAAGACTATAGTTTAGTGTACCACTACGCACCTGACGATGGAGTCATCTCCAAAACGGCCGTAGTGGAATATTACCCCTGATTGCGCTGACGGTAAGAACCATAGATATTATTATTACATTTTGAAGCAATGACGACCAATCAATATTGAGTACTTAAAGTCTTGCATAAGGAATTTGTGGCATTGTGATTAGCTCTAGGTAAATATATGAAATTCTTTAGTACAGTGCACTCGTAATGCTAATTGTAATTATAAGTTAGTATGGCTTCTTTACGGCGTTTTACTTCAAACAAAATTTCATAGCTCACTTCGGGACAAAGCTTTAACTACTACTACTACTTTAACTAGTTTCTTTTCTTAGAAAATATTAAAACATTCCTTGATAGTTTGTTTACAGTCAAAATGTTTTATCTAAGAACTAGTAATGTTTAAATTGATTATTATGTTAAGCCACAAAAATGTCGAATATTGTGTCTCTATTTAATATACCTGTACACCCATTTATGTTTTTAATTATTTTTAATACAAATTGTGGAATCTGAAATATGTTACTAAAAGTAACAGATTTTATATAGAAGAAGTTTAAAAAATAAAGGAATATAAATGTGAGACTGGCCGGAAGTAGAAGGAAGGCAACCGGAAGTTCTATTTCAGCTCTTTCACTAGAGTGAGGCAACTGAATAAGCTTAATCGTCTCTTATTGTTTTAGAAACGTTTTCCGAAAAAGTCCCTATTATTTACCAGAAAATTTCGATTTGCGTGGCTAGATATCCTACGTATTCTTCTACGTATTATTTTTTATGAATAAATACTTAACACTACACTTAAAACTTAATTTCTGTTCCAAAACAACAGGTATTGGAAACGGTCACATAACTAAAATTTACCAACGGTTTTAAGGGATTAGAACCAGTGTCTTCAGTAAAGAATAACTTAAGTAGCCTACTAGACGAGCCCTTCAAGAGCAATTGAAATAATAATACAAAAAATATAAAAGCATGCTCGTGCATTTTGTGAAATTTTGTATTGAGCATTAAGTTGTATTTTTAATTATCATAGTATTAAGATTTCCAAAATATTGTCGATTTTCAATGTTATAAATAAGTAAACTTAGCGTGTAATACATTTAGAAAATATTTAATAAGCAACAGGGAAAGATACTTGAGAAGTTTGTTGAGCAAATCAAGTTAACTCTTTGCCTTATTAGATCTTCTTACACCTTTCATCTTTACGTTTCACTACGTGGTATTTAAATTATATTTTGTATACACTATCGTAATATTTATTATAGATTGCTATTATTTAACATGCAGGGTTAGGCAAAAGTCTGGAACCCCCAGTTAACTTTTTAACGGCAGTAGGAAACCCAAACTTGGCACATATTTACAACCTAAGAAATTGCTCTTTTTGATCAAAGTTAAAACTATGCCCCAAATTTTTTAATGTAAACACCTATGACCCCAATTTTAAAGGGTTTATCATGAGAAATTGAATGGCGCAAACCAGAGGTCAATATCCCACCCTTAATGAAAATGGCAGCCATTTTAATTATTTAAGATGAGCAAGCAAGATAAAGTCTGGAAACTCCCAGTTAACTTCAATAATTTTATATTTTAATACTGACCAAAAGGTGAATTCATTTTTTTATGTGCTGGGGCAAAGTTGTAACTTTGATGAAAAAGTGCAATTTCTTATTGTAAATATGTGCCGAGTGTGGTTTTCCTACTGCAATGCGTTAAAAAGTAAACTGGGGGGTTCCAGACGCCTAACCCTGTATAATACAGGTAACGTATTTAGTAAAATAGTTGTTAAAAATCGTCAACAAGGTAAACAAAAATCTTATCAAATACTGAATATGATGCTATAGATAGTTTTATAAGGCGTACTGTATACAAATTATTATCAAGACTATAAGATGGCGCCGCTCATAATTCACTCATCCTTCACTCATATTTGGGTTAAAATACGCACATAGTGGCGTCCCTATCTTAAAATAATTGATAATAATTTATATTAATATTTCCATCAGAAACCACTGTCCACCACTAAGTACCTTGTTTTAAAGTCAAGCACAAGATACTTCAATGGTGTTGCATTTTATCGTGAAGACGTTTTGAATATATCGTATCATTGCCCTAACGTTTTCTGTAAAAAAATTCATTAATATTTTATTCTTTTTACATACTGTTAATTGTCCCAGAAGCACACGCACCGATACACTCACTCCCAAACTCCTGATCTTCTTTCTCCGGTGGCCCGTGGTGATCTCCTCGATGTTTTCCTTCAGATCCTCCAGCTCCAAGAGTCGTCACCCCTCCATCTTCTTCATTAGCCCTTCTCATTGGCTGATTACCGATAGGGTGTGTGGCTTATAGGTTAACGGTGTTTCTTGGAAGTCAGCCCTACCAGTCATCGCCTAGCTCACATCAGCTGGGAAAGGAATTTGTAAATCGATGCTCATGCTACTGTTCAACTCTGTTCACACCAACTGGTCGACTAAGTGTAATGTGAACAGAGTGTCTGCATAGATGAGCACCGTGGGTACGGGGTTAATCCCCTTTCTTACAGTTTATAAGATGAGAATACGATACCGAATATCATTTCACGGTAGTTCTTATGCCAAAGTTGCGAATTATCCAATATTTACATTGACGAGCTATATACAGACTTTTTAATACACTTAAAAGTAAATTAATCTCTTAAACTAATATTTTAGACCCTTATATGCAAACGTGTATTTTACATTATCACAGCAAAATACAAAAGCTTTGAAATAATGAGGTAGTTGAATGTATGAATTGTTTGTTTGGCGATGAGTAAAGCTTTGTTTAAGACAATAAATTTATACTAAAGAAGACATCGCGTCTATTAACTCGTTAAGGAAACTGTATTTTACAGTAAATATTACCGTTTGTATAGGTAAATTATTATCTCTTAAAAAACTGACCACAATCTTATTGTGGTTAAACCTAACTGTAATGTATTTTTAGTTAATGTTTGTTGGTAATAATTTCCAAAGTCCTTTGAGAAAGGGATATTCATAAATACAAGATAGGCTCTACACCCACTTAAATGTTTATTATGCCTTTAGTTTGCAAAATACTGCCCTAATCTAAGAAAGCTAATTCAAATTCAAATATATTTATTTGTGATAATACAAAATCTTGGCCTCGCCAAGTTTACAAAACTTGTCGGCAAGGTCCAATTGTGATGATGAGCAATGTATATTTATTAAGCAATGTATATTTATTAAATTCAGTCTAAGGGAACAATAATAAGTCAAAATAAATCTTTTATTAATTTTCAAAATTTATTGAAAGTTGTATAAACATTTTATCAGCTGACACGCGCTCGTCTCGAGGAAGTGTACTTCCTGTGACGATGTCCCCCACTGTCCTGCAAACCCACAACCAATGAGAGCTTTCCTTTTCAAGGATACTCCATATATGGTAAATACAATTAATAAGTAACAGTAGAGGGGATAACTGTCACAGAACTCTTTTTATAATTTTTAGACAATCATTCCATCATCAACTTTCGAACTAGTAAGTAATTCCTCCCCCTCTAGTCTCTCTCTCACTTTCTGGTTCACTTAGGTATTCTCTATCATGTAGTATTTCTATGTTAGTATTTAAGATTCTGGAAATTAAATAATAATTAATCCTTTTAGAGATGAACTTGCGTATCTAATTTAAGCATATGAACTTACTTGAGTGTAAATTTCTTGATTCAATTTAAAATGTAAAATTAAACTTGTGTGAAACTTTAACGTTTTATTTCTTCTTTGGTTTTATCCTATTAACTTAGTTAACCATGCTGGTCAGGCATAACAATTGGTGTCAGAAGTGGTGGATTAGTATTTGATTTCCAGATATCAAAGCAGTATTATTAAGCAATGTTCTTTGGTCTTTTATATTAAATTAAGTATTATGATTGTCAATGAGTGTTAGTCAGTCTGTATCGAGAAATTTGTTAAGAACAGGGGTTCCCCCTACACTCTTGGTGCATTTAGAGTCAGTTCAAAGGGAGTATTTTTATAAGTACATTGGACAGGACGTAAAAATTGACCTTTGGGTGGGAGTAAAATTACCTTCGGGATTTTATTATTGGGTGTTAACTTTGGATGGTATAATTGCTAATAGCCGTTGGGTAAGATCAAGCTTTGGTTGTACCCGTAAAAAGGTAGATGTAAGGAAAATTTCTGGAAAGGTGTTGATAAGATCCAAGGCTGATTCGGTTTGGTCATATTGTAAGGGTAATGCCGCGTGGGTTGCCCAGGTTTACAGGCGACAGGTAGTAAGTTGCTAAGCTGGGGAACAAAAGCTCAAAAAGTGAATCAAAAACTTTTATGGAAAAGAGGTCGTTTGGTCGGCCGCCGAATTCGGGGTTAGGAACAACGAGCGTAACCGAGATTAAATCAGAACTTTTTACAAAGATCGGAACTAGATCGGCTGTTATTACGGCACACTACGAGCATATCCAGCCGACAGGGAGTAATGCCTCAGGTGGGAATGTAAAGTCCGTTACTTTTTCAGGGCTTGATTTTGAATCTAAAGACGAAGTGATATATGACGTGCCGAAGCAAATAACAAAATTGTAGTCAATGTCGGACAACTTCCTGGACGAATTTCTCGGCATAGTACAAGAGGTAGAGTCGACACCTTTTGAGAATTTGCCTAATGTAAGTGACGTTATTTCTAGGGTAGTTGCGGAACTAGTATCTGAGGAGGATTTACTCCAAATAGCATCCCTTTTGGGGGACATAGACTTGGATTGTCTTAGGGTTTATTTGTATGAAGATGTTCTAATGTTAGTTACTGGCATTCCGGGATTCTGGGAAATAATACGGGAATACGTAAAGACGATTTTAATATTTGAACGTTTTCTAGGATTATAATCTGCATGACGGTGATAAGGATTTAATGGGTTCATGGGTTTCTGAGTTTTGGGTAGCTCTTGCCATTATTCATATTTGCATATTTTTGTTAATTTTCTTTTGTACAAGATCAAAATAAGAGCTTATTTCAATGTCTGATCCAATCTATTATTTGCCTATTCAAAATCCGGACCTGATTCTAGAAGGTTGTGAGTCCTTACTTCGATCCTTAGTACAACGTATCATCGAAAAATACATAAACGGTGGGCGAACCAATTATACGAATGAAACTAATGTATCACGTGTAAAAGTCACACAGATCGTGATAGATTTCTTAGACTAGTCGTGTCAGATGGGACTGTGTTGTAATCTTGTTTGTTTTGTCGGTGGTCTAGTCATAGCCATTATATTAGTTATCTGGTTTATAGTGGGCTTGGGTTGTTATCGCTGTGCGTTGTCCTGTTATCTCGGAGACCGTATTTTTATCAGTGACGAGACGACTACCAGTGCACCGCGTTACTAAATACTTGTACAGATTAGTATTTTCCGTAAGAGAAAGATGGTACGAACACCCCCGCCGTTACCACTTCCACCAGGAAGGGGCAACAATCAGCAAGCGAATGAGGAGGACAATGCAAACCAATTAGGGCAACCGTTAGCTCAGGCAGCACATCAAGCCGCTGCACCGGCAGTAGCACCACTGGTGCCGGCAAGACTATACGATCTGTCGGTAGCGAACCTTATCGAAGTATTTAGGGGTGATGGAACAGGCCCTACCGTGAAAGAATTTTTCCGTTTGTTTGAGAGCGCGTCCGCCACAGGGCGATGGGCGAAGGAGGATATGGTGAGGATTTTACAGCTTAAAGTTAAGGGTTCTGCCTCCACATTTTTGTCCACATTGTTAGACCGGTATGGGGCCGAGGTTGAGTATGAAGTCCTTAAAAGGGAAATTGTTGAACGGTTTACAGGGAAGCATACCCAACACTATCATTACTCCAACCTTACTAACGCAGTTCAGATGAAAAATGAAAGTGTCGAGGCTTTCGCTGATAGGATTAGGCGGTTGGGCACACTAACTATAACACCGAGGGAGGACATGGCGGAACAGCGTATTGTGAGGGAGGAGGCTGAGAAACGAATGTTGCATGCTTTTCTGCATGGGTTGACTGGGGTTACGGGACAGGTAACTCGTCACAAATTCCCTGAGCGATGGGAAGAAGCGGTTCAATACGCAGTCATGGTGGCCGCGGATGAAAGAAGCCACCCTTCGCGCGACCCGAGACCAGTGTTTTCAACCCTGGCAACATGTTTCAATTGCAAGCGACCAGGTCATATGGCTCGTGACTGTAGGGCTCCCAGACAGGGTAATACTGCTGATGGAGGTAGATATGACAGGAGTACGAACTATGGGCCAGGTCAGAGTTTTCGGGGGCGTGGCCAGTATTCTCATACGGGTCCATCACAAGGACAGGGCGGTAACAGAGGACGAACTTATGGTTCTGTGTCTCACAATGTAGGTAGAGGGCGTGAAGGGGTCAATGAGGGTTTGGTTTCTAGACGTCCGTTATCGGAGGTTGAATGCTTTAATTGCAAAGAAAAAGGGCATTTTGCCAATCGCTGCACTAAGCCGAGAACTAATTCGGAAAACAGGCGCGGTCCGATAGCCTAAAATGGCGTCCAACTGTCGGACCAGCGAACAACGATATAATAGTACCTAGTATCCTCTCCACCACCAGTGGGGACCTGACTGTAGTAGGGGAAATTGATGGTAAAAAGGTAACATTATTAATCGATACTGGGGCTGTGATGTCGTTGTTAAAAGAGGGCGTCAGTACATTACCAATCCTGCCGTGTAACGACATAGCTAAAGGGGTCACAGGGAGTAGTCTAAATATAATAGGAATTCAAAAGATGGTTATTAACATGGGGGATAGGTTCTTTCCAATTGTGTTTAGAGTTTGTATTATGGAGATTCCTTATGGAGGTATTTTAGGATTAGACATTTTAAGACAAATTGGCGCAGTTATAGACCTTAAGAAAGACTGTATCACTTTCGGGGACGAACGGTGTGAAGAGGATGACGTGATGGTGCGGGAGGACGTCGCGAACCCTCCCCTGCCAGATGGAGTCGTGTGGCAAGTGGTAGTACCGGAGAGGTTGAGTTTGGACCCGGAAAGTGAGTTTCAGATTAGGGCCGTATTAAAGCCTTTTGCGAGCAGCCGTGGAGCTGTAATTCCGGACATGGTATATGTTCAGCCGATTGAAAGTGATGTTTCAGGAATACAGGGCGCGCATGTGGTTAGTAAAGTTATAGAGAAACAAGGTGTTAAAGGCAATGTCATGACGTATTGTGTAGCTATACATATGTTGAATTCCAGTAAGGAAGTATTAGCGCTAGAGAAGGGGACGCAAGTGGCCATAGCAACCCCGGTGGAAAACTTGGAGGGTTTTTCAAATATTTGTACAGTTAGGGAGCAGGGATGGAGCAGAGAGCTCATCCTTCCCAGCCGAAATACGAATTACCACGAGGTAGGCGTCGACGCTTCAGCACGGGAGCTCGGTCCGACCTCGCAATGGGCTGTAACCGGACGTATTCAGGAGTCCGTGGATAACTCCGAGATCGAAAGGTCAAATGCTCTAGTTGCAGTTTTAGGTAAGGGTGTAATTGATGTAGACGAACTTATTGAAAGAAAAGTGGCGCATTTGGAAGGGAAGGAAAAAGAGGTAATTAAGTCTGTTTTGTGCGAATTTAAAGATATATTCTATGACGGTAAGAGGGCTCTAGGATGTACTAGCAAAATCGAACACAATATCTATACAGGTGACGCTCCACCAATAAGGAGGCGACCGTATCGACTACCCCATGTACAGAAAGAAATTGTTAGGGAACAAATCCAAGACATGTTAGATAAGGACATAATTGAACCAAGCGATAGTGCTTGGAGTTTTCCAATTGTTTTGTGCCTCAAGAAGCGTCCAGTCGATGCTGGGCCTGATTATAAACCTAAATTTAGGCTATGTGTAGATTATCGTGGTCTTAATTCCATTTCTCGCATGGATAGATATCCATTACCTAACATTCAAACCACACTGGATTCCCTTGGCAGCTGTAAATACTTTTCCGTGTGTGACTTAATGAGCGGGTATTGGCAGATAAAGGTGGCAAAAGAGGATAGACCCAAGACCGCATTCGTGACAGAGGAGGGACTTTACCAGTTTAAGCGGTTACCGTTTGGATTAAGTACAGCCCCTCTAACTTTTCAACGAGTTATGGACTCGGTATTAACAGGCCTAAAAGGTGTAGGTGCTCTCGTGTACCTCGATGATGTGCTAATTTATGGGCGAACCATTGAGGAGCATGCCAGTAGATTGAGGGAAGTATTTAATCGGTTGAGGGAGGCGAACTTGGTTTGCCAACCAGAGAAATGCGTATTTGCTCATAAGGAGGTACATTACTTGGGTCATGTTATCGGTTCCGATGGAGTGAGACCGGAAGCAGATAAGATTAGCGCCGTAGTGAACTATCCCGTTCCGCGCAACGTCAAGGACGTACGCTCATTTATAGGACTTTGTTCATTTTACAGACGCTTTGTTGGGGGATTTTCCAAATTAGCTAAACCACTAACTGATTTAACGCGTAAAGATAAAAAGTTTGAGTGGGGTGATCAGCAGCAAGAGGCTTTCCAGTCCTTAAAGCAGGCACTCACCACACCACCAGTTTTAGCGTTTCCACAATTTGATAAGCCATTTCTGGTTACAAGCGATGCAAGCTTGTATTGTATTGGCGGCATATTGAGTCAACAATATGAGGATGGAGAGAGGCCAGTGGCCTACTATTCTAAATCTATTTCCAAATCTGAACAAAATTATGGCGCAACTGAAGGGGAATTGCTTGCCGTGGTAATATTAACTAAGGTGTGGCGATGTTATCTTTACGGTAACAAGTTCACCTTAAGAACCGATTGTGCCGCAATAAAATGGATATTTTCGTTAAAGGACCCGAACAGTAGGCTTACTCGATGGGCTTTGAAACTATCCGAGTTTGACTTCGAAATTGAGCACAGGAAGGGTAACCTTAATCAGGCAGCTGATGCACTATCACGGATCAGAACTATCTGTAGACCTATATGGTCACGGGATGCTGTCCTGCAGGGACAGGGGACGGATATGTTTTGCAGGGAGGTCTCAAAGCAAATTAAAACTGGGGAAGAGAACAACTTTATCCATGACCTGGATGGGTTATTGTATCAAAAGTCCGATACCGGAAACCGACTTGTTGTACCGAGGGGAATGATAGCAAAAGTATTAGAGACACACCATGATTGTGTGTTTAGTGGTCACCAAGGTATCAAACGCACCCTAGATACAGTCAAAGCACGATATTATTGGCCAACCATAAACAAGGACGTCACAGAGTATGTTAGTCAGTGTCATTCATGTAACTTACGGAAACCTGGCAGGCGTTATACCGCACCCATGGGTATTTTTGATACTGTTAGAGTACCGATGCAATTAGTTAGTATGGACATTGTTGGTCCACTTGTTGTGTCAAAATCAGGAAATCGGTATCTTTTATCTTTCATTGATTCTGCAACCCGTTGGGTAGAGGCCATAGCTATTTCGGATCAAACTGCAGAAACTGTAGCAAAAGCGTTTGTCACGAATATAATTGCTCATTTAGGGGTTCCAAAGTACCTATTAACTGATTGTGGATCTAATTTTCTTTCAAAATTGTTTAAAGAGGTATGTAAGTTATTGAAAATTTCTAAATTACAGACTACCGTGATGCATCCGATGAGTAACGGGTTATGTGAGCGTCAGCATCAAACCATAGCTGCCATGGTGTCTCATTATGTAAATAAAGATAGTAGAAACTGGGACACATTTATTCCTTACGTACTCATGGCACTGAGGAATGCCAAACATCCGGTGACAAAGAACACGCCATTTTATCTTATGTATGGTCGTGAGATGCGACTACCAGCTGACGACGACTACGATTTCTCAGGTGACAAGGGAACTCCAGTGGAGGAATTAGCTGATAAAATTCGGGAGGCTAACGATCTAGCTGCAAAATATACTGAAGAGGCGCGGCTAAGAAACAAAGAGCACTATGACAAAAATACTCGGTTGATAACATTTACTGTAGGCGACTTTGTTTATGTTTATCATCCCGACATCAAAAAGGGCCCACAGTCTAAGTTCAAACGCTATTGGTCAGGACCTCACGAGGTGGTTGGACAGTTAAGTGAATTAGTTTACAAAATAGACATAAATGGACGGACAGTAAATCTACATGTTAATAGGTTAAAGAAGTGTCGGAACACTCAGCTGACCGATAAGGCACGCGCCGTGGCTGATAACGAGGTGGTACAGGCCACAGCTGTTCCAGCTGAGATAAGCGACGACGTCACGGGTGATGACGCGCCAGAGGCCGATGGTGTCGTACCCGGGGAGTTAAATTGGGTTGATGGACCGATTGTAGTAGAGGACAACCTCATTGATGACGTTGTCCATGAAATTGAACCGGTCGAATTTGAATCGGATGACAGCATGTACGAACCCCCGGATGATCACCGTGATGTTGATTGGGAACCACCCGTGGAACCTGTATTACCACCAGATGAGTTAGGAGGTCCCGCATATAACACAAGAGCGCGCGCTAGGCAATAGTCATAACAATAAACTATTAGGAAGTTTAAGTTGACAAAATTACTATTATATGTGTAATCTGGTCCGAGATATGACGACATAGTGGTAGAGAGGGTAATTATGTAGAGGAATGAATTATGAGGTCTCCTAAGAATTATGTCTCATATTAGTAAACATTAAATATATATATATATATATATACTTTACTTTCCAGATATTTTTCAATATTATATATTAAAATTAGACACTCAACTGTATATATATTAGAAATGTATTAATAGTGTTCACAATTGTTTGACCATAACATATCGATTTTATTGTATGATTTTGTGTTAGAAGAATGATGAGTTTTGTGCAATGATAATGGGACATTTTGAACCAACCATATTAGCGTGGGTAATAAGTTACCTTGTTTAGCGTATTTTGAAACATTTAACGTTTGTGTACAGGACATTACTCGATTATAAGTATTTTTTTAAATTCTTACTATTAGCTGTAGACATCTTAATTTTACTCGTGTGTAGTGTGAACAAAGACCATTGCTTATAATATTAATTAGATAAATAAATGTAAGGTGAACACAGAGGTGGAGGGCAGTTAAAAATGGGAGAGAATTACTGAAAAATGATCATTCTTTACCATGAGTATCGAGTATGGAAATACTCACTCTATTCAGTTTACTTATGAAAATAACTTGCCTTTTTTTTACGTGATACTGAGTGTAAAGTCTAGTCAAATGGATGTAAATATATGCTCTGTTGGAGTCATGTGACCACAAATATGCCTCGCACATGGTCACATACCATTTCTTCATAAAGACATTATATTATGAATGTTTGAGTTAAAGGCACATACCTGGTGGTTCACAACTGGGGACAGCATGAGTGGCTTGGGCTCCGTGGGTGTTGCGCAGGTAGATCTGCTTCTGGTGGAGAATCTGGCAGTGTCACGTAGTCGTACTCCTGCGGTGGCTCTGAGGACGGAGGAGGCCGTCGGGGCGGGCTTGGAGCAGCTGATGAGCGTGCTGGAAATGGAACGCGCACGAACCTTGGAGCATGAGGAGCCCCAGCAGAAGTTGGTGCTGACCGCGGCCGACCACGGCCTATTCCAGGGATGGGCACCACCGGAAACGCTGAAGATGGAGCATTGCAGCGGATTACCGAGAGAGGGAGATACCCAGCTGCACCCGGAGGACTTGAGTTGGCTCTGGTTCCAGCTGCACATGGAGGACTTGGGTTTGCTCTGATTCCCAGTGGATAGATGTATCGACGGACAGCCAAAGTCTCAGTGTCTAGTGATATGACTACGTGTACCCACTCCGGCTCAGTGTTCGGAGGTACGCGGGTGTAGCAATCTACGCCAAGCTCTACAAGAGGCATGATGACAGTCAAACACGGGCAAGGACTAGGAGCAACTGAGGACAAGTAGTGCTGGTTAGGGAGTGACTTGCGGAGGCGTTAGGAAGAGGGTTTGATAAGGCACCCACACTCGCTCAAAACCATGAGATACTCTAGTGCCTAACTGAAAATTCAAATATATATATGCGTTGATATTTATATATTTTGATTTTGTTATTTTAGTATTCATGAAATAGGGTTGCTGATGTACTTTGTATACGAAATAAAAAGGGTGTACCCTTATGTTACTATATTAATGTGGTAGATGTAATATGTATGGACATGAAACCATTTTGTACGCACTTTATTAATTGCCAATGATTAACCTTAATTTTAAACTTTTTGCTTTTGAAAATATATTAATATGTATATATATATATATATACAAATAAATTTAATGTAATTGAAAATGTAAATAAACAAAATGTATCAATTATATTCTAAGATTTTATGCGTGAAATTTGGTATTTAGCATACAGTATATTAATTGTTGACTTTACTAGAATATAATCATGTTCTTGTAAAGCCTAGGCATCTTGCTTATTGCAGTATTGAGTCATTAATTAATTGTTGCTTATTTTGTGATGTAGCTAATATTAATTGTGTTGAAATAAATTACTTCATTAGACAGAGACTTGAGGGGACCGCCGGAAGGAGGTCGCTATCCAACTACTGATAACAACCCACTCGCGATAGACTGCGACCGACAGCTAATATACAACTGGTATTATACATCACCATACTAACAGGCTGTTATTGGAATTTAAAGTCTTGAAAATCAAACCCAAAGGGTATGATTTTCTCTTGCGGTGGTGCGAATGTGATGATGAGCAATGTATATTTATTAAGCAATGTATATTTATTAAATTCAGTCTAAGGGAACAATAATAAGTCAAAATAAATCTTTTATTAATTTTCAAAATTTATTGAAAGTTGTATAAACATTTTATCAGCTGACACGCGCTCATCTCGAGGAAGTGTACTTCCTGTGACGATGTCCCCCACTGTCCTGCAAACCCACAACCAATGAGAGCTTTCCTTTTCAAGGATACTCCATATATGGTAAATACAATTAATAAGTAACAGTAGAGGGGATAACTGTCACAGAACTCTTTTTATAATTTTTAGACAATCATTCCATCATCAACTTTCGAACTAGTAAGTAATTCCTCCCCCTCTAGTCTCTCTCTCACTTTCTGGTTCACTTAGGTATTCTCTATCATGTAGTATTTCTATGTTAGTATTTAAGATTCTGGAAATTAAATAATAATTAATCCTTTTAGAGATGAACTTGCGTATCTAATTTAAGCATATGAACTTACTTGAGTGTAAATTTCTTGATTCAATTTAAAATGTAAAATTAAACTTGTGTGAAACTTTAACGTTTTATTTCTTCTTTGGTTTTATCCTATTAACTTAGTTAACCATGCTGGTCAGGCATAACACAATTGATTCACAAAAATTTAACAAAAAAAAATTATTTTTTTTTCTTTTTTCTTTTTAACAAATATAAATATTTCTAGCTACTAATTCCATTGCGGTTTGTGCAGGCACCTATCTAAGTTACTAAATACTTTTAAATCACCATATTGAACTAATAAATTAAAAACAACAGTTAGTTGCTTCTTATTAATCCTCGAAATGTGTCACCAATTTATTGATTCAACCCATCTTATTGATAGGGGAGCGAGCTGGTCAAGTGGTTAGAGCGCGGGACTTCAGTCCAAGAAGTCCCGGGTTCAAATCCCACCAAATCACCAATGGATTTTATCCGAGTGATAATGCCGCAACCCCTATGTCTAGCCTGAAGTAAGGTGACAAACAATCCAAGGCTCGTGCCTAGCGTCCTAGGACAAAATCTTATTGATTAACCTAGTTGTTTTACAAAGCAAGTCCACTATCTTATATATATTAACCAGTTAATATAACAATGGTATTAAGACGCAATGGTAGAATAGCTCATCTGTTCAAACGGATGTTCCAATTATAAAGCTCAAAAATAATACTCACCAATTAATTCTACTAACGAGACATTCCGTTAAAAACTCTTTACAGTTTTGCAGTTTGTTACTGATATTTTTCGTTTGAAGATTGCCTGATACATGTATGCATTTGGAAGGGCTGCTTTTCTGCTTATTATGTAATTTACAATTAATTGTATTTAAATACAAATGAAAATAAGTGGGGAATATTTTAGTACAAGTATAATTTGTTGAACAAACAGTGATCGCAATAATGTTTTCTTAAACTTAAAGTAATTTTTACTTGATCGCTTCTAGTAAAGTATTTAGACCTGTAAATGTAAACTAAACTCTTTATATGATTGTGTAATCGAAGAGTTCATGCATGATAAAAGAAATCTTTTTTTAGTGTAAGGGTAGCTTTACAGAAGATATTTCAAATAAAGTCGTCATATTAATAACATTCGGGACACTTCCATTGTCACCTTGATAATTGAAAAGCGTTGGCTGTTTCTATGAAAAGCTTTTGTTGAGTTGACGTCCTTATTTAATCCTTCTGAAATGTTTTATTAATCAAGACGGTTGAACTGAACAGCTATAGTTAAAACAAATACCTCTTATAGCACTAGTAATTTTTTTATCTCCAACAATTTTACAAAGCATCGTTAGTCAGTTTAAAGCATCTTAAACTTTGCAAAATTTGGTCATTTAAGCAAAAATTATAAATTACACACAACAATTAATTGTTAAATTGTTGTAGCTCATAGCTTATCTATAATAGTGTAAGCTACTAGTTTCTATAGTGAAAGCTATTTGTGCTTTTAGTAGTTAATCCATACATCCCTAACTTTTGAAAAATCACAAAATAAAACCACAATATAGTTAGTAAATACTTGGATATTAATTATCATCATTTAACAGCCTAAACTTGCATATTTAAATACAGAAAATGTTTATGGATTGATTCACTTATATCTACTAATAAATTTCCTATCCATTAAATGTGTCTGTTTAAAATACCTAATAGTCGGGGAAAGTAATCTTTATCTTCAAAAGAAGGCCTCACTTGTGAACATGAGTGATTTTAAGATCAAATAATGGTGTGAAATATGTAAGTACTAATGTTAAACGCTAATCTGATAAATAAAGAACAGCTTACAAGAAAAGATAAAAATGACCCATTCACTCCACAGTTATTATATAGAAATATTAATACATTAATGAAAACTATATAACAAACATATACAAACAAAATACGTAGGTAAAAAGATACACAGTATGTTTTTATCATGTGGTACAAATTTTAACTGACGAATAAAACAAAAAACCCTGCATAGTTTTTATCATAGTAGTATTCATTTTTCAAAGATTTCCTTTGATGAAACAATTTAATAAACTCAAAGAAAAATTATTTCGTCACTTTATTTTCCCTATTATACATCATTTTATAAATTGTCGGTTAGTCATATTCGATATAATATTAAATTACTTTACGTTATTGTAGGTGATGTGAAGGTAAGAGATGAAGTTAAACAGCTGACAGGTGTCAGGAGATATCAGCTGACAACTGTAGGTAAACCACCTGTGGATGTTTCCCTCCAAAATATGCTATCAACGACAATTTATTTTCTATGTAAAAAACATTAACATCAATTTATAAAAGCGAGTAAAGAATACATACTATCATTATGTGTATGTATTACTAATGTGCGCACATTTTCATAATATTAAACAATTATATTGCTCATTTTAATCAGAGCTAAATAACTTTTCTGACTTATTATTGTTTTATGGCAAAGTAAAATCATTATTGCATCCAATTGGTTCATAAATGTGAGCGGAAAATTCCGCTAACTTATGAGAAAACTAAAAGAAATGTTTCATTTTTCACTCCAGATCCGTATTTATTTATATGGGTGTTAAAATTTAAATTTATATTCAGTACTAATTAATTTAAGTGCAATGATTATAAAAACTCTTAGGAATATTTTAACAGGATTTGAGATTATGAGAAAGAAGCATATTTAACTTACCACATGTTGGTGATACAAATCATAAATTTATAGTTTAGTAATTAAAATACAGAAATATTGTTTAAACACCAATTTATTATTGACCTTTGAAATACGTATTTTTTAATTTATATAGAATTATATTCTATAATCTAGCTATTGTATAAAAGGATAAGATTATAGAGTAAAGAAATTTAAGGCATTTGCACATACAATGAACTAACATTTCTTAAATAAATTTTAACAAAAAACTTCCTCGATTAATCCCAAGGATGTTTTAACTGTTGGTACAGGGTAAATGGTTAACACAGTTACCCAGTAAATAGAGACAAAATATCAACAGCTGAGAGGGAATTGTAAAATTCAATTACAGTTAAATTAGATCAACAGATACTACTGATGTGAATGTTGTTTCTGTTTCAGATTGTACACTGTTGTTTATGTTGTGCTATTAAATAGCCTAGAATCTCCAAATAAATCAAATTGTATTGGTTTATTTTATCTTATTTACTTGTATTTTAGTCTAACAGTTTAGTTTTGTAGTAAGTACTACAGTTGAATTTATAATAATTACTATTTTTTAAATGAATTTTTGTTTTGAATTTTTGTGTTCTTGATGTGTTAAATGTATATATTTATATTAGATTAAGAAATTTCATTGTATTTTTATTTATTTATATTTAAGTTTGTCAGGTTAAGTGTAAGAGAGGGCCATGTGGCCCTAACTTCGCCTGGCAAAATAAAGAATTTTTCATTTCATTTAATTTCATGAATTGAATTGATATATCTGGTCCAAAAGTGCCATTTCGTGCTATTCTTAGAACTTAAAATGTTGTTTGAAATGAAATGAAAAATTATTTATTTTACCAGGCAAAGTTAAGGCCACATGACCCTTTCTTACACTTAAACTGTACAGAACCTGTTCACTGTTGTTCTGTTTAACAAGGACTCAAATGATAAACAATGATATGACGTACTTGTTATTCGGGTGTTTTTTGGTTAAGTTGACCAACCAAAATATATCTCTAATGT